GGTTGGGATGTTTTCTTGATGTGCACTTACCCTTTATATAAAACTCTCTCTTTTACATGAGTTTCTGTGGATTTGTTTCTCTAAAGTACCTGGACTAACACAAGCCAGGTAGGTACATTTAAATTTTTTCTGCTGCATGCAAAACAGCCGGCTTTAAGTTCTTTCTTCCCATAGTGCTTCGATGCTCACCTCTAGATCTTTTGTGCTTCGTCACATTTCAAGGCTGTTTTACTAGCCACAGATTTTTAAAAAGCACAGCTACAACTTCAAATTTCTTTAACATCAAGGAAAATCAAGGACATCCAGGTCCCAGGGCACATGGTTCCGCTCCCTGTCACAATTTTCCACCACCGGAGATCACCAATCTCAGTTATCCTGGGATCTTCAGCAGAGCTGTGTCGAGAACACAGTAGCCCAGGACTTGACTGCTCCTCAGTAACTAAGGTTGGAGCCCAGGCACAATATTTTTAAGGACACTCGGTTCAAACGTTTCAGCTTTCAGCACAAGGTGGCTCTTACTGTGTGCTTCACTTTCAGTCCTGATTAAGTTTCAGGCCAACGAAGCAGAGCACTGCCAACAGCTTTGTGATGTACCACTGGCCTGGTTTTGGCAAGGTACTCCCCCCGCCCTCATTGTGTTTACCATGCATGCAGTCCATCTTCAGCATTGCTGCTGGCTTCGGAAGGCATGCCAATTGTAATAAAGGACTCACTCTGACTGCGTAATGACTGACCTGATAAGGGACTATCTTTTCCTGAAATGTTGTGGATCGATTACAGCAAGTCAAATGGCGACCATCAAGGAAAAACTCACTCTGGGCTCTGTTTTGACTACAGCAGCTATGTGGAAGCAACTGCAGCTTCAATAAGAGCCACAGAAAGCTAGGATTTACAGTGGATGCCCCAACTCCGTTTTGAATCTTGACATACATTCAGTCTTCCTTGAGTTCACTCTCCTTATTAACTGGCAATGTAAAAAGCTCTGTCACCAGGCAGAGTGCGTTTAAGAGTGACATTCTAAGACTCTCCTAGGCAGCCCTGAGAAGGACATTCTCACCCTCTTGAACGTGCCCAGGCTTGCCCTTAATGGGGTACTAGGGCCCATGTCGTGGTTAAGTGCCATCGAATCGGTTTTGACTTGTAGTGATCCTGTGTACAACAGAATGAAACACAGCCTTGTACTGTGCCATCCTCACAATTGTTCTAATGTCTCAGCCCATTGTTGTAGCCACTGTGTCAATCCATATCATCAAAGGTTTCCCTCTTTTTCACTGCCCTTCTATATTACCAAGCACGATGTCCCCAAGGTCATAAGTAAGCTCCTGAACTAGGTGGTTGCAGGGCCCCAGAACCAGTCTGAGATAGTTTATTGTGCCAGCCTGGCCGATAAACACAAGTGGGATTAACTGAAGGGCGGAGAGATAAATGG